ATACCAGTCTTTTTTAACCTTTCAAAAAGTTTTATTTTCTCGCCTAAATTACCGACATAGCCGTATATATTTCTATTTTACAAATAAGACACCCAAGATGCAATAAAGTTGGGAATGGTAGGACACCGTGAAAACGCTAACTCTAACGTGGAGGGTAGCGTCTCCAGGCGATCTCGCCTCGCCGGCTAGCCGATAGCTACTGGGAGTGTGGCAGACAGCCGCCCTAACCGTAACTTTACCCCGGCGTACGGAGCGATTGCGGTGTGGCCGGCAGCTGGGTTTCTGACACGTCAGTCGGGCAGAGACCAGGACAGCCATGATGGGGGGTGTGATATCCGTACCGCTGGAAGGAGATGACGCCTCGCTATTTTTAGTAAGTCCCCCCCCCCCCCAACGGTGTCGCACGGTGACATGGATCATCGACAGCAGCAGAAGGTCTGAGGCAGCTCATGCTACAGACTCTGACCTCCGGCTAAACTCCTCGCTGGCTCTGAGGGAGTTACTGGGTTCCTTGGTGGCAGACAGCGCAGCCACCCCGAACAGGCACATGTAGCTTCCGGAAAGCCATCGCTTTCACCCCTACCTCCCACCCACCCCTACCTCCACCACTCGCCAAAATGAGTAAAAAATTCCCACAACCCCACATGCTTATCACTCTCAAAATGTGAATGAACAGCTCACCAACACACTGATAATGCATCAACAGAAATTATGGGTATATCTGTTTCTTAATGGTTATACACGACAGAAAAACGCATGGATATTAGGAAAGGTAAAAGGAGGGGGGGGAGGGGGTTGTCATAAAAGGAGAAACACAACATTAATTTGACTAATCTCCTGCACTGGGTTTGAATGTATTCCGCTTTAGTAAACACTGCAGGAAGGCTGAAGTCTTCTGAGCAGGGAAACTAATGTCACTGCAGTTACTAATTTTGCAGTATGAACTAATCCCCCATGCGCCAGTGTCCCGCACTTTATCCAGTGCGCCACACTAAATCGACACAATCCGCAGCCGCCATAATCGCGTCTCTCAAACCAATTACAGCACCTCTTCTGGGGTTCCCCGTTACTCATTTTATTGCTTTATCCAAACATTTACCCAAAACAAATGAAATACATGTATATCATCCCTGCCGATCCGGCACTGCTATTAGCCACCAAGTCATTATGTTAGCATGTGATGCTAATTTCTCATTATCGTGCTGAATGGTTTTGAGATGGATCGAAATAAATATGATTGAGAAACAAAACCTATTACACAATAACCATTTTGCTACTGTTCTGAAAAGCAACTGAAGCCGAACCCGGCTGGATTGTCATTCCATTGCAATCAGTAACCCAGACAAGGGTGTTGACAGTACAAATAAGTGGCTACTAGGCTACTCAAGTTAAAATGCTAGTTTGTGCGTGGGCAACTGATGTCACAGCAGAGTATCCAGAGTCCATCATTTAAAGGCAATAATCTTTACACAAACGCATGAAATCCCCGCCGGACATTTTCGCATTAGCGAAATTAAAAGTAGCTTAACTAGCTTGTTCCCTAGACTCACCTCAACTAAGAAAATGGTGAAGTGTTATTTCAAAAACAATACAACTAGTGATAGAAGTTTAGCTCATGTTCCAAATAAAATATGGACTGAAGATCTTCAGATTAGACTGGACAAACGATCACCAAAACAAACACTATATTTGGTGTTTAAGGCTACCAACTGCCTTTTTACGTAAATAATGTTTTTTCTTTTTTAATGAAAACCATTATTCCACGTAAAACGTTCCTCCATGACACTCCTCTCAATTGCCAAATAGAGTTTAGCCGGTCGCTGAGTGCAACATTGAAACAGCCCTTTCGAAAGCAGTCACACGAGAGCCGTTTCAGGAGAAACACCCGACGGACAAACGATACGGCTCCGTGAAAGTCCTCCACGGATCGCTCGGTGTCATCTGGTTCTTGGAGTGACCCATCCAAGACGAAAGACCAGGCTCGGGCCTGGGCCACCTCAGCTGAGCAGCACAAAAGCAGACAAAGGAACCCAAACCCTTAGCCACGACCCGAACCCTCTTCCCGCCCGGTTGGGGGACCTGCTGCTGCTTATCACTTCCAGACCTCGTTGAGAAAGACCACCGACAGGAAGGGCCTTTTTTTTTTTTTTGTCACCCGCCCTTCCCCTTCTGTGAGGTTAACTGTGAAAGTCTTGGCAGGATATCGTCCTGCTAGCGAGTCAAAAAGGAAGTGTGCGCAAATAGAGTCGCAGCCGGGACAAATTTAACGGTACGGCCTCCCCTGCTTTGCCTCCCGCCCTGCTGTCGTCTGTTAGCCCTGGGGCCTGACGGACGCCAACTGCACGGTCTCTGAAAAAGTGACACGGGATAGCATGATCTTCTGTGACGGCGGAGTGCAAGGTGCAGCCCAGAAAGATCTTTAATGATTATCACCAAGTTGAACCGGCGTTTGGCTCACACTAAATAAACAAGTGATAAAAAGAGATAGAATTATTAAAAAAAAAAAAAAACACAAAAAAAACTAAAATTATCAATTTACAACCAGGGAAATTTTTTTTACGAGATTTCACACAAATAATGAAAATGTGATCATTTCCAGCTTTATGTAATGCAAGAATACCTTTACAAACACTGAATTTGTGTAGAAAGACAATATACCTTTCTGGCGATTTTCCAGCAGAATGATATCTGGTGAACACCAGCCTTCTGCCCGACGCATGTCTTCATAAAGGATTCGAGCAGCTTTTACAGTGTGAAGCCCTTCACCGAGACAAAGCCCTCTAGAGAGCGAGGGAGCGCTTGACTCGCATTCCCGTTGGCCGCGCCGCTCTCCATCCCTTGACGTTTCCACGCTAATCGCTTTAGTTTATCCCACTCGGCTGTGTGTGAGGCAGATGTTTGTCAGGACACAGTCAGCCCCCGCAATTCACGTTGCACTAAGTAAGATTAACCACTTTTTCTCCCCCCCATGTCCTAATTCCTAATCCTAGAAAACAGTGGATTGTGGGGGGATAAATGGAACACATCAAAGATCCCCCCCCCATACAAGTCTAATGCAGTACAAATCGGGTAAAACACACATGTAAGCTCACGGGCATATAAGCAATATGCAGTATTAACAAAACATGAGGCAAGAAATATTATGGTGGAAACCATTTATTAATAATTATAATAAATCACAAAAAAACAGTCAAAGGTCATTGCTCTATTTAAACACCCCCTCACTAATAAATAAGAATGTCCAAGTTGCCCCCTACATACCCCCAAAGCATGCAGGCAGTCCTGCGACTTGTAACGTTATAACCGCCCCTTCCTCTTCCCTTTTCCTGTGTCGATTTCAGACAAAAAGCACAGCATGCGTTAACGCGGTCCAAATGAAGAAGTATCACAGTAAGCTTTCATTCAGCCGTCTCTAAATCAAACCATGGTACGCGTTTATTTAGCTTAGCGCGGCTAAGACTTTGGCGCCATTTCAACTTTCTTCCAGCAGCTGAAATGAGTACGAGCCGTGAGTCGTCGTGCGGTCATTGGCGGGGACGATTTCAAAAGCTACGGGGAGCATCTTAGGACAACATGGATGCGACGGGCACACAGTACTTGTCCCATTAGCCAGGCGAAGCTGTCCATTCATTTGTTTTCTTTGACTTGCATCTTGTTGAGCGTAGCTACGACAAATTAGACCAAACTAATCATTACTTCATGCAACAGCTATTGTCTGAAGTACTTAATCTTCTTCTCCACAGCTTAGAATTTAATTCAGCCTAGAACTTAACAGTTTTCCCTAAAGGAACCCTAGACTTTTAATGATGGATCAGAAGTTAAAAAATCTAGGTGCCTATCGTATACTCAAGAAACCAATCAGATGGCTAGGAAGTGCCATATTGACCACAAAGTCCTTTGGAACCCTACAAAATTTGGCTTGATCAACAACGTCTTGAAAACCAGGATCGATTTTCATGAGAAACAGTTGGACACCAACACTAACCTCAGGACTTACATATTCCTTAGTTTCACTAAATATACCACATATTGAAGACTGGACAGATCTTGGTCGGAAACAAATTTGATCAGACAGAAAGTTCACAAAGTTAATATCAAAGTCTTCTTTTGTGTTCAGTGCTAACGTGAATAAAAAAGCATTATCTAACATTTGTTTTGTTCTCAGTAGGCCTGTCTTCTTTTTACAAAGTTTGACAACATTGAACGGTCATCCTGATTTTTTAAATGATGGCCGCGAGACTGACTGTGCATGATTACTGCTTAGCTAGCTGTGTAGGATGTAGAGGCAGTGTGTAGCCCTAAAATAAAAAGTTCTGGATGTCTAGCTATCGGTATACTCTTCCACGCAGACAGGATCAGTTATTATCAGTCAAACACACAAGTCTTGATGATGGTGAAACTAGCACATCCTGACAGTTAACCAAACCAACGAACCAGCTACACCATATAGATTCAAAATACTTCATACTAGCTTCATACTGCTGTGTTCAGTTTCGTCCTTCGATAAACATAAAAAATGTAAACGCTGCAGGACAGGATAAATATTTTGTCTTGCGCCATGGGTGTTAACCAGACAGCTACGTTTAAATCAAGGCTTGACAACATTACTCTCCTTAAGAAGGAGCCTTAACGTGTCACACTTATGTGCAGCATCAGTAACAAATCCAATTAAATATGGAGCTTTAGGTACAGAAAAAAATAAAAAGAAATAAAACCATAGCTTCTCCATCTGCTGACATTTCGGATCACATGCTTGCGATGACTTAGCCACTTATACATAAGGGCTTGATATCTCTTCCCAGTGACACGGCTCATCTGCTCCCTCAAACCCAAAAGCAATGTCTGACATTTGGTAGTCAGGAGACACAGCTTTGAGAAATGAAAAAAATAATCAAATAAAAAGTACACCGTAGGTGAATTTGCAGGTCTGGGAGACACCCCTTACTACCACCTACCCCCCACCTTCAAAATGGTAGCACAAAGGCTTAAGTTGTACATACCTGTGTGAATGCCAAGCTTTGTACACCTCCAGTCCCCCCCTCCCTTCACATCACGTGGGGAACGTCCCTCTGCGGGCCCCCACCACGGACTACGTCTGTTGGAACTGAAACAAAGACAAGGCAAGACATTAGTCCGGTAGGCAGTCTCCACCAACCTGGCCAGATAATCATGGATGACTGCGGCTTCTCCAGAACACAGATGTCGTCTTCCCGTAGGCCAAATGCTCCACGCGGTCCGCCTGACAGCAGCTCATTACAGGTCAAACCCAATTATGTCACGAAACAGCTTGACAGTACCTTCCCAAACGGTCAGGTGTTCGCTCTCAAAGTTCAGCGGGAGTCGAAGACGCGCTTTGAAAAAGGGTCGCGTTTTGTGTGACCGTAAAAAAATCGCCATTGAGGGTGACGTTGGCCTGTCAATGGACCTTATCTGCGGAGCTCACGACCCGGCCACAGATAGACTGATAAACCCGTTAACGGGTGGTCTCTCTTTAACTCGGGCCAACGGCCCCAGTTGAGTTCCCTGGCACGAGCATGACCCGACCCCTGTGCCCGCTGCCCCTAATGACATCGCTGTGCCAGGGAGCCTCTAGGTGATAACATCCAGTCTTCTTAGCCAAGACACAAGCCAAACACCCATCAGGTTTTAAAGACCTCCACTCCATCATAACTGAACTGATTAATCGCTAAAGACGAGCTTATTCATACATGTTGATACACATCGATAAAAGATTCAGACACCAAAATTAACAAATCACAATAGAAAAGGACACAATACAAATGGAATAACCAACACGCAACTGGCCCGCCTGCGGCGGAAAGGTATAATGCTTCAGCTGTGGTACCCGAGAGTGCTGTATTCTACCTCTACACAGAGCTGTGATCTCCAGAAGGCCCAATTCATACATGAAGTTCACAGCCATATTTCCCACCTAAGGGGGACAGCTTGCACCCAACGCTGAAGGCATTTCAACCCTCCACTCCTTGCTATTCACAAGTGGGAGCGGTTCCATTCATCCGAGACTCCGAAGGCTAAATTCAGCAAAACCACATGGCCGAGGCATGACATTCCTTCTGCTGGAGGACACCCTCCAAAAATCCTGAAGGGCAAGTATCTGCAGTCAAGCATTCCCAACATCAAGCGAGCTACCGTTCAATGGTGATGGGCCAAACCATTCACGATATTTTGGCCGGGACATGGTAGCCATGCCGTATGGCTTAACACGCTGGTTTTACAGATAAAATCGAGCATGGATAACAAGGGGATTTCATATCACTGCCTCACATATGTATTTACAATTACCGCATGTTTGAGGTGTGTGATATTCAGTATAGCCAATGTGCCCAGTGCCTTAATGTCACCAATAATCAAGCTAGAAATGCATCATGGTAGCCAACAGCCTGTGTACATTTTAAAAAGTAAATAGCTAAAATAATAATAACAACAATGATTGCTGACTGAAGGTTGCAATGTCTATTGGATTCCTTACTTTAATAAAATGACCCATGTTAAGTAATCCTTTCTAACTACCCAAGTTAACATATCAAATAAAAAGTACACAGTTACAAATAGGCATCTATTGTGAGAAATGTAGACATTTTAATTACGCACATTAATCATTTGGATATTTGAAATTTTGTATATATGTATAGGCAGTTGAAGTACCATGAGTATTCCTCGCCCACAAATACAATATTCCAATATGCAGAAATGACAATCAGCAAAGCAAACAAATATTTATGGGGAAATAAATGTACTGGAAAATTAGTTTCTGGTGACGCAGTTCAGTTTGCTGGCAAATCTGGATGGAGGTGAACAAGAACTACAGACAATTAATGCTGAACAGGAAGACGAAACAAGGCTGAATGCCCATGAGGACGTACTTATACGCCTGCAGCTACACTAACACCTTCACGGTCACACTAATACTGCTGAAAGGGGCTGAACGAGGGCTGCACTCGATACGGAGCTGAGATCTTCCTCCAGCATCAGCATACAGCTACCATGTCAGCGATGTTGTGACCGAGCGACCTCCCTCCTGAAAACACGCATCTATATCCGTTGTGTGTGCGGAGCGGGAACCCGTCAGCATTTTCCGGGAGCTTCCTGACCTCTCGTTGCCAGGTACCATTCAGCCGGTGGGCGTGTGGACCCAAACGACCGACCCGAGAAGAGCCACTCTAAGAGCGGCTCGGACCCGGCGCTGCGGTCGACACGTCATGAGATCCATCGGGCTCCACCTATGATCCCCTACCCCGGCACAAAATCCTAAAGGAGATTAAATCGCACTGGACGTGCTGAGACCCCCCCCCCCCCCCCCCCCCCCCCC